ACCACAGAATTCACTTTTGATTTTGAATCTAGTTAGTTACAAAATGACAGTTTGCTCTTCTAATTGGACACTAGGGGCTTTCTAGATTTAGAGTGTTGTTATTGTTAAGAGCCATTGAGTCAATTCCAACTGATAAGCTAGTGGGGAAAAATATAGCTCCAAAGTTTTTGAAACTGTGTTTTATTTGTTTCCTTTTAATTTTATGGGCAAGTCATTGTAGACGGGAGAAATACTTGGTTAGAAGTAATTATTATGCAATAACAGTTTAGCATCAGTATTATGGATACAGAGGTGAAAATTTAGTAGTGTACAGATTGCTAATTATATTGTTATATTTCTGCTGTTAGGTACATATTTGTATGCCTATGAACAGTTATAAGATGTTTTAAGTATAATAGGTCATAAGCAGTATTGCTGACTTAGATTGAGAATTTTTGATTCCAAATAAATTTGCATAGTAGAGTGTTCATAAGAGTCTCCTTAGTGTTTTTGCAGAGAAGAAAGGGGATATTGAATCTGCCATGTAAGTTTTTATATCTTCAAGTTATCTGCAAGTTTGTTTCTGAATTATATAGTGTTTTAATTTTTCCAGTGGTGTATGTCAAACTCAGTGACCATGCCAAAACTATTTGTAAATATAAAAAGTTTCTTTTTATGTAAGCAATACCAATATGCAATGTAAGTAAAAATATATTCAAATTATCTAAGATATTTATTTTACTTTATTGATAGTTGAAACTAGATATATATTAGCAAGGTGCATCTTGTTGTTGTTGTTAAGTGCTGTTGCGTTTACTGAGGAGCAGCTGGTGAGCTTGAGCCACTGACCTTGCAGTTCAAACAGCATTGCAGTCTGATGCATTCACCCGCATCTAGTGGTATAAAATGAATTGTAATTGTGATTGATTCCCTTTTGTAGGTTCATCCTTATAAAATACTATATTAGATAGAATTATTAAGATTATATAAGGAAAAAACATAATTTTGGTAAGGTAGTATAGACACAAACACTGTTGTGATTCAAACTCACCAACTGCTCCTTGTAACCCTTTATAGAGATGCTTAGAGTCAGAACCAACTCGACGACACTTAACGACAACAACATAGTTATATATGTGCTTTTGTCAGGAACAAAGAAGACTTGTTAGGTCTGCTACTGATTCTAAGTAGTAATGATAGTAGTTTTTCTATTTTAAACAAATACAAATTATTTTACTTCTCTTCATTTCATTTAGTCTGGTTGAGCTAAGTTCCATGAAAGAATTAAAATGCCAGCTATTGATTGTATATAACGAATTCATTCTTCCCGTGCATCTAGAATGTTATTGGCTATGTTCTGTCCTTGAGAGAAGTGAGAAAATAGTCACACCAGTCACTTTCCATATGGTTTCATTTTTTTGGGCAACCTTGGCTAGCCAAGACTGATTAGATTAGACCATCTCTTGAGTTCCTGCCAACTTTAATTTAATTTGATTTTATATTTAGTTAGTTTAGAGATTCAACTTTGTAAAATTAAGGAAAAGATGTCCGTCTTCTATGTGGTACTTATAGATTTTTGAGAAAAATACCTTGGTATTCAGTAGAAAGTCTTATCTACCCATTTTATTTTATGTTATTTAATAACAGAGTCATAGTTGTGATCAATCCATTTAACTCTCTAAAAGCATTTATTCTAAGCATTAATATGTTGATTTTTTAGCATATCAGCTAAAGGAGCACATTGACTAGAAAACTCTTAATAATGAAGTTAGGTGTGTAGGATGTGTAAAGTAGAAACCACTTTGCTGTTCTAGAATGCTGAAAACAACTATTGTGATTGAGTCATTTCTGACTCAGAGGTCCACTGTTGGACAGAGTAGAACTCTCCCAGAGGTTTCTCCAGGCTATATTCTTTATGGAGTCCTGGTGTGGGTGTTACAGGATAAACACTGGACTGCTAGCCACAAGGTCAGCTGTTCAAACCCATCAGCTGCTCCTTGGAAATACTTATACAGCTTTGCTATGAGCTGGAACCAACTCTACAACCCTTCACAACAAACAACAATCTTTATAGAAGCAGATTGTCATCTCGTTTCTCTCATGGCGTAGTTGTTGGGTTCCAACTACTGACCTTTTGGTTAACAGCTGAGTGTGTAACTGCTATGACACAAAGATTCTTTAGGGACCTGATGGCTACTGAGAAACTGGATTATATGAAGAAGAACATGGCTTGGAGGAAGACTCATTCACAACTTGCGAAATGCAAAAGATACAACCTTGCTTGTTGGAAGTGAAGAGAATTTAAAATACTGAAGAAGATCAAAGACAGCTTTTGGTATGGATTACACCTCAATGTAAAGAAAACAAAAATCCTCACCACTAGACCCCGTAAACAACATTCTTATCAATGGAGAAAAGATTGAAATTGTCAAGGACTTCATTCTTCTTGGATCAACTATCAACACTCAAGGAAGCAGCAGTCAAGAAATCAAACGACATAATTGCGTTAGGCAAATCTGCTGCACAAGACCTTTTTAAGGTGTTGAAGAGCAAAGATGTCAGCTTAAGGACTAAGGTGTCCCTGACCCAAGCCATGGTATTCTCAATAACCTCATATGCATATGCAAGCTGGACAGTGAATAAGGAAGACTGTAGAATAATTGATTCTTTTGAGTTATGGTATTGGAGGAGAATATTGAAATTGCCATGGGAAATTTTGGAAGTGCAGCCAGAGTGCTCCTTGGAGGCCAAGATGGCCAAACTTCATCTCTCATACTTCAGACATATTGTCAGGAGGGACCAGTCACTGGAGAAAGGATATCATGTTTGGTAAGGTGGAGGGTCAGAGGAAAAGAGGAAGACCCCCAACAAGATGGATTGGCCAAGTGGCAGCATCAGTGGACTCAAGCGTGGCAATAGTAGTGAGGTTGGCCCAGGATTGGGTAGTGTTTAGTTCTGTTGTGCATAAGGTCGCTATGGGTCAGTACTGACTCGGTGGCACCTAACTTAGTTGCTGCTAAGTGAATTCCTGCTCATGATGACCCTCTGTGTCGCACTATGTTCCTTAGGGTTTTTAGTGTCTGAGTTTCTGGTCTTGGATTGTCAAGCCTTTTTGCCAAGGTACCTATGAGTGGACTAGAACCTCCACCCTTAGGACCAGCAGCTGAGTGCACTAACTGTACCATGCGGCAGGGACTGTTTAGTGAATGGTGGTGGTGGTGGTTATGTGCTGTGGAGTCGGTCCTGACTCATTGCGACTCTCTATAGGGTTTCTAAGGCTGTAAATCTTGAGGGGAGCAGAAAGCCTCATCTTTCTCCTGTGGAGCAGCTGTTAGTTTTGAACTGCTGACCTTGAGGTTAGTAGCCTGACTCAAAACCACTACGCTATTAAAGCTGCTTGTTTAGTGAATAGAGAGTATTTTTAAAATTATTTCCTTCGTACATTGTTGGAACATTTTATTAAATGATGAGCTGACTTCATAAGTTATTTTATATATAACCTAGTCCAAGGACTTGCAACGTATGCTATTAATGCTTGGATGTTATAATGGTGGTGATTGTATGCCATAGCATACATAGCATCCTTGTATAGTGTTTCCAAGGCTCTAAATCTTTATGGTAGCAGAAAGTTTCTTCTTTCTCCTGCATAGCAACTGTAGATTTGAACTGCTGACCTTGCAGTTAGCAGCCCAGGTCTTAGTCTACTACATTACCAGGGCTCCTTTGATGTTATAATGTTGTTGTTAAGTGCCATCGAATCGGTTCTGACTCATAGTGACCTGTATAGCGTTTCCAGAGAATGTCTGGTGAGCTCAAACTGCTTCCCTTGCCTTGCAGTTCAAATCGACTTTGCAGTCTAGCACATTAATCCACAACACCACAGCAGAACTCCATTGGATGTTGTAAGAGTGACCCAATATTTAATATGTGCTCTTTATTTAAAGATTTCAGCCTAGATTTATTCAATTTTTGTTTAGAAAAGTTTAATGCTTTATATTTTCATGATAAGTCTTCATTGATAAAGTTTCTAAAATTATTTTGGGAATAACATGTCTAACATTAAATTGTTTTTGTTTTAAAACAGATAAAATTTGTCACCTTTAAAAATATTTTTTCCTCTTGATATTTTTCAGCTATGCAAAAGCAGCCTTTTGTTTAGAGGAACTCATGATGACTAATCCACATAACCACTTATACTGTCAGCAGTATGCTGAAGTAAGTCTTTTCAGAAATACCAATTGTATATGATTTTATTTTTATTGCTGCTGGGTATTATTGTGGAACTAAACATATTTCCTTAATTTTAGGCAAGTATATAAAATATTTAAAACATCTGTTGAAAGTTGAGTTATGGGAATAAAAGTTGAAAATTTTTAATACTGTCATGGAAATACTGACTCTTCTATTAAAAGTGCTTATTTACTATAGTGAAATTCCTTGAATTTTTATATTTTCAAACTGTTTTCTTTCCTAATAATGAATTCAGCGATTGAATTGTAAAAAATCTAATGTGAATATTTTATCACAGTTATCAACATTAAATAACTTCTGAGACATTTATGATAATTATCATCTTTAAATCCATATTCTAGGCAATTTAAGGTTATTATTTTGGTACAGAGGAAGTATTTTGTTTGCTATTAAATTGATTCAGAAAAATGAATCAGTGTATCCACTGGGCATCTACTTCATAGCAGTAGCAAGATTATTGAATGCCATAATGTTCAAAGGATTTCATTATTAAGGAATTTCAGTGGAGATATAAGAAGGCAATCCAATATTTAAGCTTGGGTTTGTAATGCTAGAATTAGAAAATAAAATGTTGTCAGGCATTGGTGAAGTATTTGAAAATAGAAATTTTTTTTAAAAAGTACTTAATGATCTTACTGGTAATAGAATAATAGTCGTAGAGTAGGATTAGGATCGTTTGGTGGGGTGGGGATATATTTTTCAATTTAGGTTAACTTTAACAGCTTTAAGATAAATTATCTTATCATCTTGCATTGTGTATAGGATATCTGTTATTTTTGTTTCTCATAACCTTTACATTAGACTGCTAAACATACTATGTTGCCCTTGTTATTATTCATTATGATGTTTAGTGCATAGTAGCAATGTGCGTACTGATTAAGACCGTAGCCTGAGTACTAATGCCTATGGTATGATGAAACCTGCTCTATTTCAAAGGTTTGAATAAACAGGTTTCAGCACTCTGAAATTTTAACAGGTTAAATATACCCAAGGTGGACTTGAAAACCTCGAACTTTCAAGGAAGTATTTTGCACAGTCATTGAAACTAAACAACAGAAATATGAGAGCTTTGTTTGGGCTTTATATGGTGAGTTGAGCTGTATGTTTAATGTTATTTTATGAATTCTGTTATTTAAAATTTATTAATTATATCCTCTTCAGTCTCTCTCCTTGATTTTTTGTATTTTATTGATGAAAATTTTTTCCTTTAGTTAATTATCAATATTATGTTGTAAGGTACATTTATTTTTTTTAATGTTAGTACACCCTAACTGTTTACTATTTCATTGTAAATATCTCGTTTTATATTAGAATTGAAACCTGCCTTTTCAGTAGCATTAGATAGAAAACTTTTTTTTTTTTTTCAATTTGTTTTAATTGTCTTGGGTTTATGTTATGTCTTACCTTAAGTATGTTCATATGGAATATTTTACACTATGACAATAAATGACATTTAGAAACAAAAGAGTTAATATTTCATGTTAAAACATTTTTATGGTATAGAGAGAAACTTTTTGGAATTTGTGGGAAACATGTAATGAAATATTTTTGCTGTTTCTGTGTGCCAAATGATGAGCTTAGAAAAGTCAGTTAACAGGGGCCCTCGCTACATACTGATCAGACATTGGGCTGCGAACTGAATCGACCAGCCACTCCAAGGTGAAAGGATGAGACTCTGTGCTCCCGTGGAGATTTACAGCCTTGGAAACCTTCTGCAGGGTTGCTATGAGTCAGAACCGACTTGATGATACACCCCTACCACCACCATGGGAAATAGGAATGTAGTGTGATAAGCACTAGACTGACAACCATAAGGTTGGTGGTTTGAGCCCACCAGCTGCTCCACAGTGAGAGATGAATTTATCTGCTCCCTCAGTAAGATTTCAAAACTCAGAAGCCCTCTTCGAGGTTGCTATGATTCATCACCAACTCCACATACTTAGCAACACAACCAACAGCATGGGAAATAGAGGAACAATTGTCTGTGTTTTAAGGTAAATATGAAATGAGGCTCCCTCAGCTATCAGAGAGGCTGAGAAAGGAAGCTCTTCTTTGATAGGTCAGTTCTTGATATTTTTATTTTCTAGTCTTTTCCTAAGGAGCTCTGGTAGCGTAGTGGTTACGAATCGGGTTGCGAATCTTAAGGTCAGCGGTTCGAAACTACCAGCCGCTCCGCGGGAGAAAGATGAGGCTTTCTACTCCCGTAAAGATTTACACCCTCGGAAACCCTGTA